GCTCCTCCCGCCAGCCAGCCACAGGCTTCTCCAAATGGGACATTGCTCCATAGACTTCCCCCACTGACACACGCCTCCCACTGCGACCCAAACACACCACAGCCTCAGTAGAATCAGACATCACCAATTCATACACATGCACCCCCCCACACACACATGTTCAAGTTTCTGATTTAAATATGAAACATTTCTACCAGCTCTAATATTTCACACTAACACTTTTACACTTTAAACCCGAAAAGGACTATCTTGATCTGACCTCTGGGACATCGCAGGCTACAGAAACTCACCCACCCACTCCTGCAATAGGCCCATAACCTCTGGCTGAGTTATGGAAGCCCTCAAATCTTAATGTAAAGATTTCAGAAGTTATAGAGACTCCACCATATATCCTACTTCAAACGAGCAAGTGATGCCTCATACTGCAGAGGAAGATCAAAATCCACCAGAGTCTGTGCCAGTCTGACCTGGGGGGAAATTCCTTCCTGAAAACCCTCATATAGGTGAGACCCACCAGCTTCATCATTTCTTAATATTTTTTGGTGAAAAGTTTGAGCATTTGTTATAATGTTAGTTTATCTAATATTTTAGTTTGGACATTTAAAGGAACACACACTTTTTGTTGTTTTTAGGTATTTGTATTGCTGTAGCCCCTCCTGATATCAGCTGAGATTGGGGGCCCATTGTGTTAGCTACTATACTGCCTACTATACTGCCCTACAGATTTTACAATCTAAGATCCCTGTTTAGGAAACCATTTACATAGACAAGGCACATTATTTTTGAACTTTTGTGATTGGCAGCACTACCTACGTAGTTTTAATTTTAACTGTGTTCAATTTCTGTCTAATGAAATTTTATGTTTGTTTTTAAAAGAACATATGAACGGCCAGACTGAGTCAGACCAGAGGTCCATATAGCCAAGTATCCTGTCCTCCTACAGTGGTCAATGCCAGGTGACCCAAAGGGAATACAGGAGGTCCCTGACATGTGAACGCCCGAGTTCTGACCCCCTGCACTTACAACCATTTTTGTAAGTGTGAAAGGGGCCAATGCCCCTCGACTTACATCCTCTTCCCGCATTTACGATGGCGCATGACGCCTATCGTAAATGAGGGCTCGAATTATGACACCCCCAACTTGCAACGCTTTCCCAGGAATGGATCACGTCGCAAGTCGGAACAGAACAGTAATCATCGAGTGATCTCTCCCATCACCCATTCCCAGGTTCTGACAAACAGAAGCTATGGCTACCATTCCTGGCTAATAACCATTGATGGATCTATCCTCCGTTAATTTATCTAGTTCTTTTTTGAACCTCGTTGCAAGTCCTGGTCTTCATAGCATCGTCTGGCAGGGAGTTCCACAGGTTGACTGTGTGTTACATGAACAAATACTTCCTTTTGTTTGTTTTAAATCTGCTACCTATTAATTTCATTTGGTAGTCCTTAGTTCTTGTGTTATGGGAACAAATAAATAACTTTTCCTTGTTCACTTTTTCCACATCTGTCATAATTTTTTAGAGCTATATCATATCCCCCCGTAGTCTTCTCTTTTTTAAACTGAAAAGTCCCAGTCTTTTTAATCTCTTTATATGGCAGCTGTTCCACACCCCTAATTATTTTTGTTGAGATGAAGTGACAACATCTGTACACAGTATTCAAGATGTGGGCAACCATGGATTTATATAAAGGCAATAAGATATGCTCTGTCTTAGTCTCTATTCCTTTTTAAATTATTCCTAACATTTTGCTTTTTTGACTGCTACTGCAAATTGAGTGCATGTTTTCAGAGAACTATCCACAATGACTTCAACATCTCTCTCTTGAGTAGTATTAGCTAATTTAGTCCCCATCATTTTGTACATGTAGTTGGGATTATGTTTACAATGTCCATTACTTTGCATTTATCAACACTAAAATTCATTTGCCTTTTTGTTATCCAGTCACCCAGTTTTATGAAATCCTTTTGAAGCTCTTCAATAGTCTGCTTTGGACTTCTCTATCTTGAGCAGTTTAGTATCATCTGCACAATATCTCAATCTTTGTTACCTTATTCCAAGGTAACACATAAAGTTAGTTTCTGGGGGTGTCGTTTGAAGACTGTAACATTATCTGGAGTCACCAGGTGGCACTATACATACAAATGATCTTGTGTGAGTGATAATATGACCGGGTCATCTGCAAAACTAGACAATCTATCTCTCTGCTGCTTAGTGGAAGTCTTGAATTTGCAGACTGCTCCAGGAGAGTCAATTAATCATTTATATATATGCTGAAAAGGTTCAGGCTCAGATTACATTCCTGTGTAATTCCCGTCTCTTGTCTGAATCTGTTTGCAAAGTGTTTATTTTTCTGCTGTATTTGATAGGTTGATATACTGATAGAAAGTCATGTTTTCACACTAATTCCAGTTACTGTCAATTTAAGAGTCAGTCCTGGGTGCCAGACTCTATCGAAAGCTATTTATATAGTTATATAAAGCAGAAAAATTTCACCCCTTTTTATTTTTGTGTATGTTTGTTGATCATCTGCTGTGTTGATATTGGGGAGGTTAAAAGCCTTAAAAGGCTTCCTAAATGATTTCTATGTTGTGTTTCAATATCAATTTGAGATAGAAGCAAATTTATAAAGGCAAAAATGGAAGTCGAGCACCTTGTTCCTACAGATAGCTAATGCAAGTTGGACACCTGAGTGTCATCTAAGTCTTTGTATTTTTATTATCCATATCATTTGATCTGTATGATTTCCTGAATTTGGGTTTCTGAAAGGTTTTTTTGAGATCTAGTGTTGTGAAAGGGATCTCCGGGATGGTTTGATGGCTTTAAACTGCATCTTCACATGGAATCTTTTAAAAAATTGTGCTCCTGAGTAAGTTTTAGGGGTGGATTTCTTCCTATAGATCTTGGAAGGAATTATTTTGTCCTGATTTTACTTCTGTGTATTCCTAAGATTTTTTTTCTATATGCTTTACATTCTTTGCAGATTTGCCAATCCAATTTGCGCTTCTTTGGTTTGTGTTAAATATTTTTAAATGGGATCTTTATTTTTTATTATTCCTGTTGAAGCACTATTTAGTAGTGCTGAGGTGTGGTAAGTATGAGATATGTTGTCTTCAATTATTTGTTTCAGTGTTTTAAGTGGAAAGATCCCTTTTTTTCTCATTTGGTTATAACAGCCTGTATCAGGGGTGGGCAATAATTTTTGATTATTTTCTATGGAGGGGATGTGGGGTCTGGGACAGAGGTTGGGTGCAGAAGGAAGTTTGGGAGTGAGGTGCAGGAGAGGGTGTGGGGTCTGAGAGGGAGTTTGGGTGAAGGAGAGGGTTGTGACCTGGGGCAGGAGATTGGGGTGCAAGATCTGAGAGGGGGTATAGGTGCAGGAGAATCTGGCCTGGGATAGAGGTATAGGAGGGGGTACAGGGTCTGGGAGAAAGTTATGACCTGGGGGCAGAATAGTGCAGAATAGGGTTTAGGTGGTGACCTGGGGCAAGGAGTTGGCATGCAAGAGAAGGTGGGGTGCCCGAGGCAGGCTATGGCTGGGAGGAACTTGGCCAGCAACATGGTGGGCACCCTCAGGAAGGCTCCCTGCCTGCTGCTGCCCCTGGTTCAGAGTAAGGATGTTAAATATCAAGTAACTGACTAATCGAAAAGTCGTGCATTTTGCATTGACTATTCAATTAGTCGATAGGGCGCCTCCTCTTTTGAAGTGTAGCAACATCCCTAGGGGAGTCCACACGGCGCTGCTGCTTTGAAATGTTGTGAGGAGCCTGATGCCGACCTCCCCGTGGCGTTTCAAAGTGGCAGCACCGCACAATGCCCGGGGTCAGCAGGGAGTCCCCAGCTGATCACAGTTTCCACACAGCACTGCCACTTTGAAACGCTGCATGCAGTCTGGGCTGAACGTGGCATTTAAAAGCGGCAGCACCGCATGGAGCTCAAGGTCTGTCCCCAGGCTTCAAGCGGCGCAGCAGCTTTCAAGTAACCTCTCCCCCCCCCCCTTGCTGCCACTTTCTGATAGATGCATCAAAGGGGGAGGAGCAACTAGTTGACTATTCTATTGAGTATCCAATAAGTATTTGCTTATCAGCTAGTCGACTAGTCCTTCACATCCCTAGCTCAGAGCAGCTGGCTGCCTATGTGCCTCTCTGCAGCACGTGCCAGAGTTGGGGGGAGGCAGTTTCCACTCAGCTGGAGCTGAGAGATTGTGCTGGGGCCAGGGCAGCACGCAAAGCCTCTCCATCCCCCCCACCCGCAGCGCATGGTGCAGAGAGGCGCATGGAGCAGCCAGCTTCTTTGGGCTGGGGGCTGCTCCCTGCCTGAGGGTCCTGATGTCACAGGCCGGATTCAAAAGCTTGGTGGGCCAGATCTTGCCTGCGCATGGCCTATAACAAACTGTTTTTTCTTCTCCTTTCTTTCTTTTCATGTTTTTTTAATCCTCTTGTTCTGGCTGTACGGTTAGGATTGCTTTGATGCTGTATTGAGAGCTCTGTGAAGGTCTTTTGCAGCTCTGTTTGTCATTTGCCTGTTATTCATAGTGTTTGTTCAGAAACTATTAATTAGGTTGTCTATAATAACTAGAGTTTTGGAGTTCATATGTTTTATTCTTTTGATTCTTGTCCCCGTATATAGTTTTGGGTAATCTGTTTTTATTTTGTGGTGTATTGTTTATGGATGGTATACTTTAAGAAAAGAAAAGCTGGCTGGCGGTGGTCTGATGAATATGGCTGATGTCTCAATAGACAGAGACTCCCAGTGCACATACATTTATATGCAGAGTTGCACTCACATGTACCTACATACACTCTCTTTTTCTCATTCAGACACAGACTTATTTTCATTGAAGTCAATGTTTTATGGAATTGAAATTAAGAATTCCCTGTGAGAAATTGGGATAGGAATGGATACATAGGAATTGCCAGGTGGATCAGACTGGGGTTTATCTAGCTTAATATCTTGTCTCCAAGACTGGCCGCATCAGATTCCTTAGAAAAATCAACCTTATGTTAGGCAGATGTAGGATAATCTGTCCCCCATATTCGGTCTATTCCTAATCCTGGTTGGTTAGAGATTAGTTTTCACCCCAAATTTGAGGGTTCATATCACTTCCAAATTGTCTGTTTGCATTGATTAGGAAAGCTTTGGATAGTCTTGTTATCCATACAAATATTCAAACCCTGGTTAAATCTTGCTACATTTTTGGCCTCAACAATACAGGTTGGACCTCCCTCGTCTGGCTCACCCGGGACCTGACCAGTCCCAAATGAAGGGATTTGCCAGACCCTCCCAACATGGCCTATGCTGACCTCCTTCCCCCTGCTAGGGCTGCAGCCTAGCCCTGCTGCTGCCTGCCCGGCCGTGGCTCCATGGCCAGGGCTGGAGCTCCGCTGCCCAGGCTGTGGCTGGGTCGCTGTCGGAGCCCTGTGGCCGCCCCCCCTTGGGCACCCC